CATTTGTTGTTTACTCTCAATAGTTATATATGATAATTTTTCATTCGTTTTTTTTATCAACGAAAAAACAAGACGAAGAGCAACTTGTGTAATTGCAATCAACAACCCCACCATGGATATCAACATCATGCTTCATTCAAACACCTTAGTTGTAATTTTTAATGGGTACTGTGCTTACTGCACTGGTCTCCTGATATGGTAATTTTAAGTTTATTTTTGTTGATTGCAGTGAATTTGATCTGTTTATGCCCTTTTTTAATTCACCTGTATTTTTACTCTCATAAGCCATTACTGCTAATTTTTCATTCTATTTATTCCTTCCATGTATCTGCAGTTATTTATGTGTTGGTTGCTATGTTAAACATGTATTTATTGTTATATGCTGCTGATTGCTACCAAGTAAATAAATGTAAATTAATGACATAATTAATTTTAGTTGCTTATTAGAACATCCCCTGCTTGTTATGTTAAACCGATATTCATTGTTGTGTGCTATAGATTGCTAACAAGTTAATAAATATAAATTAAAATAATAATTTCAGTTGCTAAGTAGAACATCTCATGCTTTCTATGTTAAAATGGTATTAGTTGTTGTATATTGTAGATTGCTAACAAGTTAATAAATATACACTAAAATGTTACTTATATATATATAAGTAGAGCATCCCTTGCTTGTTATGTTAAATTGTTATTGTGTGCTGTTGATTACTAACAACTAAATAATAGTAAATTAAATAAATAATTTCAGTTGCTAATTAAAACATCCTGCTACCAAGTAAATAAATGTAAATTAATAACACAATTAATTTCAGTTGCTAATTAGAACATCCCCTGCTTTCCATGTTAAAATGGTATTAGTTGTTGTGTATTTCAGATTGCTAATAAGTTAATAAATGTATATTAAAATGTTACTTATATATATAAGTAGAGCATCCCTTGCTTACTATGTTAAATTGGTATTGTGTGCTGCTGATTATTAACAACTAAATAATAATAAATTAAACAAATAATTTCAGTTGCTAATTAGAACATCCCTTACTAATTGATGAAACACAGTTAAAGGTTTATGCCATCGTGGGTAGGTTATTATGTTCTTTCCCCTGTCAAGTTTTTTAGTTCACACTTCACATCATTCAATCTTCTTTGAACTAGTTTCTTAGTTTATTTTTCCATCTCTTATCAGCATCAAAGCTATTGTCAGCTACAGTGAATTGTGTGTTTAATTATTTCTTGCATTGTCAACCAAGCCGCTATAGATAATTTCTTTATTTATGTTTTTCATTCCTTGTCAACATTCAAGCTTTTGTGATTCTATGGTTGACCTTTTGCTGCATATGTAATTTCTTGTTCTGTTACTATCTTATTTTAGGCCTTATCATTATTCAATCTCTTGTTCATATGGTTAATTATTTGTTTAATTTTTCTTTACATTGTCAACCATAAGCAATGGATGGGTCTGACACATATGACAAAGCTTTTTGAAGCAAGGCAATGTTGCACACATTTTGTGACATTTGCATTACAGCTATTGAGAGAGGCATGAGACCAAACATATATTTTGATAAAGTTAGCTGAAAATTTATCGTACAGTCATTCAAAGATCAGACAAGACTTTCATTATCAAAATCTCAGCTTAACAACAAATGGGATGGGATTAAAAAGGGCTGAAAAGTGTGGAAAAAACTAATAAATGAAATTGGAGTTGTTTGGTCTACTGAACTTGGAACCATCTCAACAATTGATGAATGATGTCAATAAAAAATTTAGGTTAGTTTGGTTATTATGTTCTTTCCCCTGTCAAGTTTTTTAGTTCACACTTCACATCATTCAATCTTCTTTGAACTAGTTTCTTAGTTTATTTTTCCATCTCTTATCAGCATCAAAGCTATTGTCAGCTACAGTGAATTGTGTGTTTAATTATTTCTTGCATTGTCAACCAAGCCGCTATAGATAATTTCTTTATTTATGTTTTTCATTCCTTGTCAACATTCAAGCTTTTGTGATTCTATGGTTGACCTTTTGCTGCATATGTAATTTCTTGTTCTGTTACTATCTTATTTTAGGCCTTATCATTATTCAATCTCTTGTTCATATGGTTAATTATTTGTTTAATTTTTCTTTACATTGTCAACCATAAGCAATGGATGGGTCTGACACATATGACAAAGCTTTTTGAAGCAAGGCAATGTTGCACACATTTTGTGACATTTGCATTACAGCTATTGAGAGAGGCATGAGACCAAACATATATTTTGATAAAGTTAGCTGAAAATTTATCGTACAGTCATTCAAAGATCAGACAAGACTTTCATTATCAAAATCTCAGCTTAACAACAAATGGGATGGGATTAAAAAGGGCTGAAAAGTGTGGAAAAAACTAATAAATGAAATTGGAGTTGTTTGGTCTACTGAACTTGGAACCATCTCAACAATTGATGAATGATGTCAATAAAAAATTTAGGTTAGTTTGCTAATTTGCAATAGCCTCATAATTTTTTTTATCATGTTGTATTATTTATTAATCTAGTATCATTGCTAAATACATTTAGTTATCATTACACAGGAAATGAGAGGAGCAAAGAAGTTTAGGAATGTAAATATAAAAACAAATGGGATGGGATTAAAAAGGACTGAAAAGTGTGGAAAAAACTAATAAATAAAATTGGAGTTGTTTGGTCTACTAAACTTGAAACCATCTCAACAATTGATGAATGGTGTTAATAAAAAATTTAGGTTAGTTTGCTAAATTGCAATAGCCTCATAAATTTTTTTTATCATGTTGTATTATTTATTAATCTAGTATCATTGCTAAGTACATTTAGCTATCATTACATAGGAAATGAAAGGAGTAAAGAAGTTTAGGCATGTAAGTATAGAGCCCTCGTTGTGTGCCAAGTACGATATCATGTTTACTAATATAGTGGCCACGAAAGAATATGCTTAGACTCTTTTACAAGGACTCTTATCATATAAAGATAATGTGGCTGTTAGAATGAGAAATACAACCAATAAGGATACTAATATAGAAGAAGAAAAAGGTGACTCTGAAGATGATGCAATTCCTGATTTCACTGGTATTATTTATTAATCTAGTATCATTGCTAAGTACATTTAGCTATCATTACATAGGAAATGAAAGGAGTAAAGAAGTTTAGGCATGTAAGCAGTGCAAATAGAAAGGGTGCACATCATACTACACCTTAATTCTGAAAAAAAAAGGGACTAGAATGGGAGCAGAACTAGTTGCACGTCTAGATAAAATTATTGAGATTGTCTCCATGCCTAGAGAGATATGAGAAATACAACCAATGAGGATACTAATATGGAAGAAGAAAAAGACAACTTTGAAGATGATGCAATTCTTGATTTCACTCATATCATAGCTTCTTCTAGAGATAAAAAAAAAATAGGTTACAACATCGAAAAAGTAATGGAAGAATTGTATTATATTGATGGAGTTGCCCTTAGAGGTGCATTGCATACCTTTGTAGCTCAATTCTTTTATGCAAGGAGTAAGAGAGAGATGTGGGCTACAATGGATTGTATTCAGTGCAAATAGAAAGGGTGCACATCATATTACACCTCAATTCAGAAAAAAAAAAAAGAAGAGAGGAACTGGAATGGGAGCAGAACTAATTGCACGTTTGGATAAAATTGTTGAGATTATAAAATATCATGGCTAAAAATAATGTTTGATCAACATAGACAAACTTAGATGGACAAAGTCAGTTTTTAACTTTTTACCTTATTCATGTCTTTGCATTTATGTTGAATTCTGTAATCCAATATCATAGCTTCTTCTAGAGATAAAAAAAAGGTTATAATATTGAAAAGGTAATGGAAAAATTGTATTCTATTGATGAAGTTGCCCTTAGAGGTGCATTGCATATCTTTGTAAATCAATTCTTTTATGTGAGGAGTAAGAGGGAGATGTGGGCTGCAATGGATTGTACTGACAGAAAAATATCATGGCTAAAAATAATTTTTGACCAACATAGACAAACTTAGATGGACAAGGTCAGTTTTTAACTTTTTATCTTATTTATGTCTTTGTATTTATGTTGAATTCTGTAATCCAGTAACATATTCATTTGTCTGAAATCTTTTTCACTGGTTTTGCAGAGTTCCTGTGCTGCAATTATTGCTAGAATTATTGTTAGACCTCTGTCATTGTATTTTCTTTTACATAATTATATTATTGTCTTGTTTAATTTTTTGAAGCAGTATTCTATAAGTAGAACTAGTTTGAATCTCGTGGAAGGTGGCAAACATTCTTATTATTTATTGACTTATTTTTTTGAAATGAAAAAGGATCTTTAATAGTAACAATTTATCTAATATTATTAGTGGGTTGGAATTTCATGGATATTAATTTCTGAATTTTTAACCTTAAATGTGTAGATACTTAACTTTGAATGTAATGTTTAGCTTATTAAATTCAAAATTTTCAGTTCTATTACTTGATGTTGAATGGTTGGTAAGAAAAATTTATAAAATTGAGACTGCTGCTTGTTGGTATTATACTTTGAATGTTTGGTTAGTAGCTCTTGAATGGTAGGTTTAGGTTGCTAATTTTGAAATTTTTAGTTAGTGTATACAACATGTGAATGTTTGGTTACTTGCTCTTGAATGGTAGCTTTT